GAGAGACGGTGCGGCTGCTGGGAGGGCCGGGGAGCGAGGAGGGGGCGCCCTGCGGGGCCCACGCTGCCTTCCAGGCTGACGTGTCCGAGGCCGGGGCCGTCAGGCGCTTGCTGGAGCAAGTGCAGGTGAAAGCTAGATGACCTCGTCCTATTTAAAGCCCTAACGTTTCCTCCACTACCCCTGGCTCTACATGCGTAACCTCCCCGTTCCATAGGCCTGCTTTTCTCGCCCGCCATCTGTCGTTGTGTCCTGTGCGGGCATCACCAGGGATGAGTTTCTGCTCCACATGTCGGAAGATGACTGGGACAGAGTCATAGCTGTCAACCTCAAGGTGGTGACCTCTGAACCGTGATTACTGGATCCTCTAGCCTGAAGAGGGAGTTGGAAGACTCACCCACCTCAGCTGATCCTTTCTACCTTGTTACTTTCTCCCCATCTCAGGGCATCTTCCTAGTCAATCAGGCTGCAGCCCAAGCCCTGGTGTCCAGTGGCTGTCCTGGCTCCATCATCAACATCAGTAGCATCGTAGGGAAGGTCAGTTTGAGTTGGGATGAGGTCAGCCAGCCAAGTGGGCACAGAGAGGAGAGCCCCTCTTTGGGAATCCTGACTCATCCCAAATCTCTGGCATACTTATAGGTGGGGAATATGGGACAGACAAACTACGCAGCATCCAAGGCTGGAGTGATTGGGCTGACCCAGACTGCAGCCCGGGAGTTCGGACGGTTGGTCTGACACCCTGGGGAACGGGAGGTTTTGCTGAGGCATGTAAAAGGTCTGAGAGCAGGGTCAGTGTTCAGTCCATTCTGGAGTCAGCAGCCACTCTCCTTTCTACAGACATGGGATCCGCTGTAACTCTGTCCTCCCAGGGTTCATTAAAACACCCATGATACAGAAAGTGCCTCAGAAAGTGCTGGATAAGGTAGGTGACTGTGGGTGGAAGGCAGAATAATTCAAGGACCCAACCTCTCGGGTTCAGAGAGAGTGCTTGGCAGTGTCAGGGAAATAGTAGATACTCAATAACTGTACAAGGAATGAAGACCACAGACTCAGTCTACCAAAAAATCCATGAAAAGAACTTTCACTCACATACGAGTGTTTCTTTACAGGTGACTGGAATGATCCCAATGGGACGTGTAGGGGACCCTGAGGGTGAGCACTGAGTTGGGGTGGAGGACCCTGAATAAAGCGGTCCCAAAGTATGTAGTATCTGAGAGGGTCTCACCAGGATTGGTGGTTGGGGGAGAGGTGATTCTCGGGGGGAGGTGATAGCTACTTCAGGTCTATGAGAGTGAGTGGAATTCTGCCCCCTCCCCACCATTCCCCTAGATGTGGCAGATGTGGTCGCATTCTTGGCATCTGGAGACAGTGGATACATCACAGGGGCATCAGTAGAAGTCACTGGTATGAGGCCATCTTGGGGAGGAAGAGGGCAGAGAAGTGCAACCCAGATGATATGAGAAAGCAAGTGAGAGGAGTCTGGAGCCACTGAGGGAAGGGCAGAAGTACTCATGGGCCAGGGACAGAAGTGGGTACCCCCCTCCAGCCTATTTGTCTCCACCTATACATCTGTCCAAATGTTTCTGCCCCTCCCAGGAGGTCTTTTCATGTAACTGCCTCAAGGACCCTGGACTCTGCTCACACCCCCACCGCTCTGCTTGGCCTCCTGCTGCTGAGGACTCTGAGTTCCCAGGCTACAAAAGGGGTGGCAGTGTATGGCTCAGGAATGCTGAATATGGGAGGCAGGGGTGCTTGTGACCCTAATAAATTCCAAATCCTCTTCCCTGCCACCTCCGGTTCTTCTTGTGTCCAAGCCCTCAGACCCTTCCCTACCTCCCCCTCCTTTCCCTTTCCCGAAGGATTGTTCCCTTTCACTGCCTGGTCTCCCAGGGCAACCCCCGCCGCCGGGTGTGAGAGAGTGTGTCACTGTGTGTGCGTGACACTCTGGGTCTTTTGGAGGGAGGGGTCTCTGACCCACCCCCTTCCAGTGATCTGCAGACCCAGTCCCCTCCCCCCAATTCACCGGGTCCTTTCGGTCCCCAAGGGTGATTTGTTCTTGGCCCCATCCTGGTGTCCTGTCTAGCCTTGGGAGGGGGTCTTGGAACAGGTGGCCCTCCCCCACCCCTCTCTTTTCTCTGAGTCCCCCCCCCTTTCTCTCCACCTTACAATAGCTGCAGCCGGCCTGGGGTCGGATGGGGGGGATTAGGGGAGGGGGCCAGGATTAGGGGAATGGACCAGCCGATGAAAGGGGCTGGAGGAGAGCAGAAGGGAGGGGGCTGGGAGGAGGAGGAGGAAGGGGAGGGGGTCCGCGCTAATCGACTCTGGAGCCCACATAAGGACTGGCCACGGACTGAAGGAGAGGACAGGGAAGTAGGGGGGAACTGGGGGAGGGGGCGAGGGGACCCACTGCTGCCTTATCCCAGAAACAGGCCACCCCCTGGCAGTTGCAGCCTAAGTCTGGGAGCCCCAGCTCAGGCTGGAAGAGACAGGACGCCCATCACGGTCTCTTTCCCACCCCCCTCATCCCGTATCCCTCTCATCCCCTGCCCTCAATGGGGATCGCTCTGCCCCTTCCTCTTCTCTTTCCTCCCCATCCCCTTCCTTTACCGGAAAGTCCTGGAGGAGGCTTCTGCCCGCTTCCCACTCCAGATATTCAACCCCTTGTGCCCCACCTCAACCTACACGCGCACACCCCCTCCCCGATAGTGGCCCCATCTTGTGTGTGTGCGTGTGTGTGTGTGTGTGTGTGTGTGTGTGTGTGTGTGTGTCCCTGCTTCCGCGTGGTGTCTCCATTCCCCCGTACCTCCCGTGCGCCTCCCTTCCCCGCCCCGGGCCGCGGCTCTTGATTGTCCAAACGCAATTCTCGAGTCTATGGCTCTGGCCGAGAGTTGAGTCTGGACGTCCCGAGCCGTCGCCTCCAAACCTCGAGGGGAGAGCGGGTCGGAAGGTCTAGGGAGAACCAGAGTGGAGGGTGGAGCAAGTCCCCAGGGTGGTAAGGGGAATCCCAGGCACATCGGGACTTAGTTACGTTCACAGGACTGGAGGACTGAAGCGGCAGAGGCTCCGTTGCAGCTATTTTTTCCCACCCGGAATCCCGGGCTGGGGTTATGAAGTTCTGCGTGGGGAGGAGGGGAGCCGTTCCCCAGAGCCTCCAGGGGACGCGGAGTGGGGGAGGTGGCCCCTTTTCCAATTCCCTCCGTCCCCTCCCGGGGTCCGAGCTATCCCAGGCCCCGCCCTCTGGAGCGGAGGCCCCGGGTGGGGGCCTTGGGAAGGGAACGGTGGGTAAGGTTGGCCGCGCGACATTGCTGACCAGGGGACGGAGACTGCGGCCCCCACGTGGCGCGCTACTCCGGGGACGCCGGCTTCTCACGGGGGGCGGGCGCGTCCCGAGGGCGGGGTCAATCGGGCATCCACGTCGCGTCCCACCCGCGCCGCGAGTGGCGGGTGACGTCTCGGCTGGCGGTGGGTGGAGTGGAGTGGAGGGGCAGGCGGAAGTGACGTAGGGCCCTAGCGCCCGGGCCATGGCGGCGGCGGCAGCGGCGGGAGCTGCTGTTTGAGCAGCGGCTGCGGATCAAGCGAACTCGGCCGAGGAGCCCGGGCCCCGGGAAAGGCGCTGTGGCAGCGGGAGCGCGGACGGCTGGAACCGGGTGAGGGGCCGCGCCGGGGCGGGGTGGCGGGAGGAGGGAGGGAGCCTCGAGAGGGCGGGTCTGCGCGAGGGGCGGCCCCCCTAACACCCTGCCTCCCCTTCCCCCACTCCCCAGCCTACCCCTTCTCCTCCTCCGCGGTGGAGCCCTGGTGGGGGTCTGTGCCCGGTCACCATGACGACGCCGGCGAATGCCCAGAATGCCAGCAAAACGTGGGAACTGAGTCTGTATGAGCTCCACCGGACCCCGCAGGTGACCCTTTCACAACTTACTCCCACTCCCCAAACCCCTCTATCTACAGAGCCCTATCTCACAGCCTCTTTTCCCTTTTTTGCCCTATTCTGACCCTGCCCGATTTCACATTCCCTTGCCCTACCTTTGAATCACCTTAACCTTTCAAAGCACTTTCACATTTATCCCACTTAATCCTCAAAACAGAGGCGGACGTAGAGCAAGTAATTAGAAGCTTCATTTATAAGATAGCAAACCGACAGAAACTATCTTTTATGTTCCTCAGTCCAATGTCATAGATCAGTGCATTTAAGACTCACCTTGGGAGTTTATTAAAAATGGAGCTTCCTACCTTGCCCCCCGCTCCCACTAACATTCTGATACAGTAATGGGGTGGGGCCCCAGAATCTGCATTTTTAACATGTACCCTAGAGGATTCTGAAACAGGTAGTGCCAGGATCACACTGTTAAGAAACTGTGTTGACTAAGTCTTCCCCACATCACAAATCTGTGCCACGCCCATCCCCAGACCTATCACCAAACCTCAGATCCTCCTATTTCAAAGCTCCTACTCTTAGAATTACCACCTTCCTCAAGCGGCCAACATGGGGTGCCCAGATTCTGTCATCTTACTGTATTTCTCAAAAGTCCAATTCATGGACCGCTCGTTTCTAAAACCCCTTCCTCACTAACCCACCACCACCTTTCCACTCATCGATGCCTCCAGGAAGCCATCATGGATGGCACAGAGATTGCAGTTTCCCCCCGGTCACTGCATTCAGAACTCATGTGCCCCATCTGCCTGGACATGCTGAAGAATACGATGACAACCAAGGAGTGCCTCCACCGATTCTGCTCTGACTGCATTGTCACGGCCCTGCGGAGCGGGTAACAGGAGGGACATGTTTGAGATGGGGAAGGGTACAGAGTTGGGCCCTCAATGCCCTCCCTGGTGACTGCTCAGGGCTTTCTCTCTCCTACCCCAGGAACAAGGAGTGCCCTACCTGCCGAAAGAAGCTTGTATCCAAGCGGTCTCTGCGGCCAGACCCCAACTTTGATGCCCTGATCTCTAAAATCTATCCCAGCCGGGAGGAATACGAGGCCCACCAAGACCGGGTGCTCATCCGCCTCAGCCGCTTGCATAACCAGCAGGCTCTGAGCTCCAGCATTGAGGAGGGGCTGCGCATGCAGGCCATGCACAGGTTCGGGGGGCCAGAAGAAAGGTGGCAGCAGGGCTGGTGGAACAGATCTGTGGAACAGACTCCTGGTGCTGTCTTTGCTCCCCACCAGCTTCTAAGCCTTAGCATCCTAAGTGTTGACCACAGTCTGATTGTCAGGCCTGGAAATCATGGATGTAAATTGTACCTTCTTAGTTAGCAACTGGTACTTCTATTCGTAAGAAAATAGCTAACCTAATTTTCTGAACAGTAGAGTGATTTTTTAGCATAAGCTCTGGGTTCACATTGCTGGGAATTAAATGACTTCTTAGGCTACCATCACTCAGCCTTTAACATGTATTCATATGATGGGGGGTGTCTTGTTAAAAATGCCAGTTCTGCTTTAGTAGGTCTGGAGGTGGGCCTGAGTCTAAACCCCTTATCCTTGGTGCTTTCTAACCTCAACCACTTGCTTCCATAGGGCCCAGCGTGTGAGACGGCCGATGCCTGGGTCAGATCAGACCACAACGATGAGTGGAGGGGAAGGAGAGCCTGGGGAGGGAGAAGGGGATGGAGAGGACGTGAGCTCAGACTCCGCCCCTGACTCCGCCCCAGGCCCGGCTCCCAAGCGACCCCGTGGAGGGGGTGCAGGGGGGAGCAGTGTAGGGACAGGGGGGAGGAGGAACTGGTGGGGTGGGTGGGGGCGCTGGTTCTGAAGACTCTGGTGACCGGGGAGGGACACTGGGAGGGGGAACCCTGGGCCCCCCAAGCCCTCCCGGGGCCCCCAGTCCCCCGGAGCCAGGTGGAGAAATTGAGCTCGTGTTCCGGCCCCACCCTCTACTTGTGGAGAAAGGAGAATACTGCCAGACTAGGTGAGAGCCTTGTCTTTCCCCAGACCACTGAGAAGCCAAAGATCCCATAATCTTCCATCAGAAGTCGCCATTGCCCAAACCCAGAAAGAAAACCTCACTGAGAGGCCCTTTTGGAAATGCCCTACTTCCCTTCTCCATTGCGGCTTCTTGTGCCCTAAACCTGCCCTCTTTGCCACTCCAGGTATGTGAAGACAACTGGGAATGCCACAGTGGACCATCTCTCAAAGTACCTGGCCCTGCGCATTGCCCTGGAACGGAGGCAGCAGCAAGAGGCTGGGGAGCCAGGAGGGCCTGGAGGGGGCGCCTGTGATGCTGGAGGACCTGATGGGGGTGGTGGGGAGGGTGGGGGTGCCGGAGGAGGTGACGGCCCTGAGGAGCCTGCCTTGCCCAGTCTGGAGGGTGTCAGCGAAAAGCAGTACACCATCTACATCGCCCCGGGGGGCGGAGCTTTCACGGTGAGACCCCTGAGGGCAGCTTGTGAGAGGGGAGAGGAGGGAGGGTGGCCTTGGGCAACAGAACCCCATCCTGACCTCCTAGACCTCCTAACTGACCTACACTCTTCGCCCTGTGTATCTCTTATCTCCCTTCTCTGTTCTTTCTTCTTCCCCATCATCCACGTCCTGCTTTGCCCCATTTATCATTCCTTTTTCTTTCCTCCTCCCTTCGTCACATTTTGCCTCTCATTCATGTCCTTTACCATCTTTTCCAACTTACATTTCTCTTCCCCCTCTCTGTCTTCCATTTCCTCTGTAGACATTGAATGGCTCGCTGACCCTGGAGCTGGTGAATGAGAAGTTCTGGAAGGTGTCCCGACCACTGGAGCTCTGCTATGCCCCCACCAAGGATCCAAAGTGACCCCACAAGGGGACAGCCAGAGGATGGGGAC